GTTGAACTTCATGAGGTTCGCAGGGGCCCACCTCTCTAGCCTGTCAAGGTCAAGGTCCCTCTGGATGGCATCCCTTCCCTCCAGCATGTCAACTGCATCACACAGCTTGGTGTCATCAGCAAACTTGCTGAGGGTGCACTCGATCCCACTGTCCATGTCACCGACAAAGATGTTAAACTGTGCCAGTCCCAATACTGACCCCTGAGGAATGCCACTCGCCACCGATCTCCACTTGGACATCAAGCCATTGACTGCAACTCTTTGAGTGCGACCATTCAGCCAATTCTTCATCCACCGAATGGTCCATCCATCAAATCCATGTCTCTCCAATTTAGAGACAAGGCTGTCGTGTGGGACAGTGTCAAATCCTTTGTCAAATGCTTTGTACAAGCCCAGGTAGATGACGTCAGTTGCTCTTCCCTTATCCAGCAACACTGTAACCCAGTTGTAGAAGGCCACCATATTTGTCAGGCGCGATTTGCCCTTAGTGAAGCCATGTTGGCTGTCACCAATCACCTCTCTGTTTTCCATGCTCCTTAGCATAGTTTCCAGGAGGATCTGCTCCATGATCTTGCCAGGCACAGAGGTGAGACTGACTGGCCTGTAGTTCCCCGGGTCTTCCTTTTTTCCCTTTTTAAAAATGGGGGTGATGTTTCCCCTTTTCCAGTCAGTGGGAACTTCACCAGACTGCCACGACTTCTCAAATGTGATGGATAGTGGCTTAGCAACTTCATCCACCAGTTCCCTCAGAACCCACGGATGCATCTCATCAGGTCCTATGGACTTGTGCACCTTCAGGTTCCTTAGACGGTCTCGAACCTGATCTTCTCCCACAGTGGGTGGTTCTTCATTCTCCCAGGCCTTTGCCTTCTGTGACTTGGGTGGTGTGGCTAGAGCACTTGCCGGTGAAGACTGAGGCAAAAAGTTGTTGCCTTCTCCATATCCCGGGTAACCAGGTCTCCCATTTCCTTCCAGAGAGGGCTCACATTTTCCTTAGTCTTCCTTTTATCACCAACGTACCTATAGAAGCTTTTCTTGTTGCCCTTGATGTCAAAGATTCAATTAGTTGCGAACATGAGTGGCCTTATCACACTAGGTGGAAGTGCTTCTAGGCAGAAAACGGCTTCTCCAAGCTCGACTCACCCAGACACAGGATGCAGAGTTTGCACTCCCAGCAACCGTTTTGAAGATCAAAGCAGCAGCGCCAGAGGGAGTCTGAGACATACATTGTTTGCTTCATATACTCTTACATAGAATTATGTAATGTCATTAAGTGGTGTAATTACAGAGTCCAACCATACATTTTTGCGGTTTAAGTGAAAGTATGCTTAATGGTGTAATTACATCTAAAAAAGAGATCCCATGACTAACTACATCCACAGGGCGGCAAGCAGCAAAAAGTTTCATATTGTAATACTAGGAATGAATTATGTGTCTGGTAGTTTTCCTCCTTATTCAAAGCACAGCAGTGTAAAATACTATTGGCAGACCCCACATCTCCCTGTGCCTTCCACAGTGCCAGGATTATCACCATCAACGAGCCCATAAACAGCAAAGCCTTCTGAATAACAACCGAGGCCGACTCACCTTCGTGCTGCACAGGAATGATCCCATTTCACCCCAAATGAGTAGGGATATGGCACTGTTGGGGTGTGAAGACTGTGATCAACCATCACGGTGCCACACAAGCAAGATTATGGGTAGCTGATGGGGTCTTGAGCCATGCCCCATGTGTCTCCTATCTGTTCAGCTTTCCTTTTTGCCATGTATCTGTCTGAGGTTGATTGAAGCCATAGGGTGAATCCAAGGTGAAGACCTTTGCAAATGCTTGTGCAAGGCCAAGTGCCATCTGGGCTAGCCAGTGTTATACTGGCTACCAATCCCTCCAGCTAACAGTTGTAGGAGGATTATCCTGGCTGGTCAACTAAAGTCACATCACAGACCATGTTACCTAAATCCAACTTCTGCCAAGCGCCCACACTACCCTCCCATCACTTCAAACCAACAACAGGAGAAATTGTCTCCAATCCACCTCTCCCTGCCAACCTTTCCCATCCCACACCACTCATTAACTCGGCAGATGGGGATTTGACCTTACCCTACCCAGAAGCCATCTCCTCCAGCCCCATCAGTGAAACACTAGAAAACACAGAACTACCCAAAACATTGGTCTGAAGCCAAGGAAGTGCTAAAGCATTCCTCAAATCCATTTGTCTTACTGCCTGAGATGGCGTTTTATTACTAGAGTGCTGTGGCACCCTGAGATTTATGGGCAATGGGCTCACTCAGTCCCAGACAGAGTGAGACAGGGAGAACAATTAACACCACCCTATTCCTAATCCTACTCCCCTCTACTTTTGGCTCATTCTCCTCCACTTTCCTTCTTTATCCTCCTATTATAGCAATAGTGAAGTACAATCAGTATTTGTCTTTTTTTTCCAGACAGCCTTTAAGAGAGCAGAAAGCCTCTCCAAGATGGACACTTGCTGTCCCCAGCTCCAGCCCCAGGCTCCAACGTCCACCTCCGCAGGCAGAGATCTGCTGCAGCCGTTAAACTGAAATCTGCTGGGTTATACCGGGAAATGCATTTCACTTTGCTAGCACAACTCCAGTAAAGTTCATAAAATTGGGAATCTTTAATGCCTAGCAGAAAGCCTGAGTGGTTTTCTATCAGACCTTTGCTAGCCAGCCCCACCTCTCGCCCAGATTGCTTTTACAAGCTCCGCTTAACATCCACAGCCTCCACTCCTCTCAGTGCTACGCAGCTCAAATAACCCCCCTGCCCTTTCGTTTTGGGAAGGATCTTGAACTGCCCACAGTCAGGCCCAGAAAAGGCTCTTGCATTTTGGGGAGACCCAGCACATTTTCAACTAAGCTGTCTGAAGAACAAGTGGGTCTGGTAAGTAGAAGAAAGCATCTCGAAGAAATAAGGGTTAGGTGAAAACCGAGAGCTTCTCGACTGATGACTTCATATCAGGGCTGTTTTGCTGAGTAGGATTTCTACTAGTAAGTAAGCTGAATATTGATTTTTTTTTCTCTCAATAGGAGCAAAAGGTGCTCCTCTTCAGGGCTCCAGAGAATTAGTTGGGAAATGTGAAAAAACTTTCCCCAGGGATAGGAAGAAATCTGTCCAAGGTCAGGAGACTCTGCTCCTCGGTGTGCTGGAGCTTCGTTATGCTGATGCCAGGCCAGGCAGCCGTCACAAGCACAGGACAGTCCAGGTGGGAGGACAGGAGATGTATGCTTTGGGGGAGCAAGGCAAGACTGGGTTTGGGATTCAAAAGGGACAGGCAAAAAATACAGGTGCAATAGAAAGGGAAGAAAAATTTCAAAACAATTTTTTCCCCAACATTTTCCCTGCTGATCTTGATCATAAGTAAATGCACAACCTGTAGATGTGGTGCTTAGAGACATGGTTTAGTGGTGGATTTGGCAGTGCTAGGTTAACGGTTGGACTTGATGATCTTAAAGGACTTTTCCAACCTAAACAATTCTATGATTCTATGATTCTATAACCTAGACCTGAAGGTACTTCATTTTCTGATCCCAAATAATTTTTTTGAGGTTTAACTGTTTGGTGCCCACACTGTGTTTTGATATTTTTAAATAAAGGGAGTTTCAAAACTCTGGAAAGAAAGCATCATGGTAAATATTTTTGCTTTTTGAAAACACTAGCTGCATATCTCTTCACACCGGCTATGACGCAGCAAGAGCAGATAATAAATGTAGACATAAAGCGGGTAAACAAGAACATACATGCTGAATATTTTGGAGCACTCAACTGAGGATGAGTGGATGGTTAAGCACACAAATGAGCCGGTTGCATTTCCAAAATGTGAAAATTCAGCTTGCGGATATTGATTTCCAGGCAAGCCTGGTTCACTCCATTCCGTAGTGCTTAGCTGCCTTTGAAGGTCTTTAAGAGCCAGTCCAGAAAACGACTGCTTACTTTAGTGCTGTTTTAACCACAGGTTATTTCTTTAGTCTGAGAGCAAATTAGCAACACACTGACTCCAAAGAGATCATAGAATCATAGAATCATAGAATCATTGAGGTTGGAAAAGACCTCTAAGATCATCAAGTCCAACCGTCGACCCAACACCACCATGCCCACTAAACCATGTCCCTAAGTGCCTCATCTACACATCTTTTAAATACCTCCAGGGATGGGGACTCCACCACT